GAGCAAACGCTAAGAACAATTTTCTTCTTATTTTCTCTTCTTTTCTTGGAATTGAGTAAAATAGTATACGTAATGCGGCATACACATTTCTAATTATTGCAACTCTGTTTTGAATATAGATTCCCTATCCCAATTTAGCTCGATAAGAATTATAATACTTCTTAAAACGTTTTGTATACAAAAGTGCTCACTATGATTGGAATCTTCGTTTCGTTCTGTATATGTTTGGAATTCTTTATATAGTGGAATGGAACTACAAAATAGAGACATCAGTGAAAGTATACAATAATTAATACCATATATTTTCTTTATTTTCGCACTAATATCATACTTATGTTCCGTTCCACTATATAAAGAATTCCAAACATATACAGAACGAAACGAAGATTCCAATCATAGTGAGCACTTTTGTATACAAAACGTTTTAAGAAGTATTATAATTCTTACTTTTTATCGTTAATTAGGCTGAAGGGAATGCATGTCACGCTCGAAACTTTATACTTTTCAGTAAAACTTATTTTATTCTCTAAAAAAGAAGAAAAAGTTTCATTTAAATCAAATAACTACGATCTTTCTCACACGTTACAAACGACTGAAACTCATCGTAGACATTAGGGTTGTGTCGTTGACCAGGTCAATCGACGTCGTCAAATATTTTGGACCATTCGTTTCCTTTCTCCTGTACAACTTATTCGAATTCATAAATTGTACTTCAGAAAATGATTCCTCAAATGATTTTGCTCATGACAAGACGTCTCAAGTCTTTCTTTCGATTCGCGAAAATCATAAGCCTCGATTTTTCTTTCGCTTGAAAGTTATTCAAAGAATAATCAGTCGCGTTCGGTTTTGAAATGGATGTCAGTCTAAGGACCATCAGATTTTTTCGAACAAAAATTTTTGTCGTTTGCTGTTAGGAATGTGAGTTGAGACTTTAACCAATGCCTAGAACTAGAGAACAAAAACGTCCGATTGTTTTTGTGTTACCTATTATTCATACAGGAGTGCTTTTTCTAAGATATGTGGGATTTTCTTAAAAATACTTAGATACTCTATATATTTGTTTTTTCCTTTATTTCTCGTACTGCTGTTAGCAATTGATTCCTTTTCGACAGAAAATGTTCTCCTCTTAATTAATCATACAGCAATAAATACTGAATATCTTTGTACTATACGCGTGAAATGACTCTGACTAAACGATGCAAAGATGGTCTGCCAAATGAAGATCATGTCTATATCGAAGTGTTAGAGCCATCACAATATGACCTTCGAATCACTCAATCTCAAATCGGAGAAAATTTCTACTAAAATTTCTGAAAGCAGAAGGGGTGTACACTCTCCTCACACAAACGGTCGCACTGTCACTGGGCCGAATATCGAGTAATCCATAGCGGTACAGATAAATTCGATCATCCAAATAAATAAAAAGTATTGCTTCAATCCATGTTAGTATTTATCGATTTACTAACATCTCGCAAAACATACATAATTTATCTATAACATAGACGGGAATTTTTGTCCAATTCCAAAAGAATTGTATGCATGATATATAATGCAACAATCCTAAAGTCTAAATTTATTATCGTTTTACGAATTATTCGATGCAATCATCTATTGATTTCAAGACGGATAACATCGTCATATAATCTGATTCAATTGTAATGTATTTTAATGTAATTTAAATTAAACAGTAGAACAAATAGACGAAAATCAATTCAATCTGACATGTTTTTAGCATCAACTCTCTGTTTTAACAACAATCTTTGTGGGTTGGTTATTTTTTTACAGGTAATTTTCTTTTACACTATTTTTATTGGTTTATTTTCGCAAGCGCCGCAAACTATAATGACTGATCAGATGCATAAAAAATGCAAACTTGTCAATGATCGTTTAGATGGATATTTAAAAGTCTAATCTTCATCAACTGTTTTGATTCTTTTTGGAGCTAAAAACCAAAAACATATGTATAGAAAAATGTATCGTTAAAACTAAATTTTTCTCTCTAAGCTTCAAACTATTCTTTTACGGGCTATAACCAAATTCTCTATTAATTTCTTTTTGTAATGGTAATGTTTTTAATGCATCATCAAATTTTTTGACCAAATCCGCATTTTGTCTGAATTTATCAATCCATGCTTGTTTATCAATTTTAATTATTTCGTTGTTTGGTTCCCTTTTCATATGTGATAATTCTTCAGGTGATACACGTGGTATCAGTTGTTTAAATTTAATGTTATGTGCCGCAGCTCTTGTCACCAAAAATATCATTTTTTCTGTATCGAACGCATTTAATTGTTTACCATTTAATTTTAAATTTTTCAACTTTAAATCAACTAAAAAGATATCAAAATTCGTCTATATAATAAAATATTTTCTCAAGTTAGACCTTGTGGATTTAGCGTATGCGCATTGTTGACAGGCTGTTCGTCAGTTAGACCTAAAAATGAGAAAATAGAAAATGCAGCAACTGATGTCCTTAAATCAAAACATCCATTATACAGATATATCTATAGTTATCTCGATCTCTAATGCATTTACTGTCAAATTTGTATCAGTGATACTTTATCATATTGAAATCTGCAGAGACTAGACAGTAAAACTGACTATTTGTCTTTCTGTCATATTACTATCATACCACGTTCATGTCGTCGTAATAATGAGCCCATTATATCTTTTCGTCTATTTCCTTTTGAAGATTGAATAAAAAGTAAGATTATAACGCCAATTATTGTTCGATGTTTATATAACATAATTTAATAGTAGTTCAATTATAGATAACAGAAAGCTTACATACACATATCAAATCAATGAAAGGGAGAAAACGTAATTCAATTATTCTTACTGTTTCATAATACAGTCATTATGAATGATAGGCCAATAATTGAAGATCTTCACTAAACTTGAGAATATATGCGCTGATTTTTTAAATAATTCATAAGACATATCCGTGACCATCATTTGACAGGATGGATAAAGGAAATAGTATCAGTTTTTCACACTAAAGACTTTAAAATCTCCATAGTAATAATTCTTTCAACTCGACAGTTAAAAATAGTTACAATTATCTAGAGTTTTAACTTTCAACTTGAGTAAAAGGTTAAACTGTTGCAGTAAAGGAAAAGACTGTGGCATAAATATATTTTTGATTTTATTTTGATGATTTATGCGATATAACAATAATGATGCATACAGAAGATGAGGGGTTGAAGAAATTGATTGTTGCCATGGGATTAGAAGATGCTGATATAACAATGATTATGGAGAAAAATCAAAACAGAACATCGAGGAAGATGAAAATTATGACATAAGAGAACTAGTTTTAACACTTGTTGTCACAAAACATTCCAATTTATTTTGTTTTGATGATTTTTGATGATTTTCTGATGGTGATAGTTTTACAATTCTCATTAAACTAATTGAGACTCTATTTTCACATGCTATTCTGTTTACTGATTTTATTAAATACATTTATCACTCATTCTATCCTTCAACATTACTATGTTAATATGGAAGTAAAGAAAACCACTATTAGAGTTACATTTATTAAAATATCTCATCAATCTTTTAATAAAGTATGTCGAGCATTTTTGGGACGACCTTTTGTACGACGTTTACCAATTGCTTGTGGTCAATGACGAGTTCCTCATATTGTCATCAAATCGACACTTTGCACATGCGCATACTGTTTCACTTTATAACGGTATGTGCTGATACAAATCGTGAAAAAATTTCCTAATAACAGAAATTTTTACTGGAGGAAGGACATATACTACTGTAGCAAATATTAAAGAAATTCCAACGTAAAATATATGTCGCAGGCATAAATGAAATGTAGGAGAATTTAAAATATCCTAGAAATAAATAAAGTTTTAATATGAACTAGTTCAACATAATATTTGATTTATCTCTATAGGAATATTTGAAATATTTCTAGCAAACAAGTTCTGTCATCTATTTCAATTATTCTTACAGGAATAAATACAATTTTTCTTCTGACTAGACGAGTAATAGTGAATGCATTTATAAGAAAAGAAAACAAAGCGTCTTAGCAAAGAGTTGTTAACTAAACAGAAAACTCCTTTTTCCACAATGGGAGTAGTTTTAGGAAAAATCGGATGAGCATGTGTCAAAACTCAATCAAACATTTCGTTCCAAATTTGTTATTAAACGTACAATATACGACGAAGTAATATTAGCATTGCAAGATTAATGGGATAATTCACAGTTTTTAAATTTTGGATCAAGAAATATTTCAAATTAGTTAATATCGACACAACAACAGTTGTTTATTTTATTAAATCAAACCATTCAGTTATCACATACGAGGATCTTTATGATAAAATTAAAGAAATCTACGAAAAAGTTGGGCGTGGTCGAGACAAAAGATGGAACAAAGCAAGCTAAAATTTCTGACATGTTCTTCTATGGATTTTCGGAAAACTCTAGTTTTCATCAGGTCACATAACGACCCCTTGAAAAAATGGTCGCATCAAGGTGAGAATTTTACCATAGATACTTCAGACCCTATCTCCGGTTGTTCTTTTTTCGCAAAATATGCTTTCTTCACGAAAACTCCTCGGAAAATTCAATTCGAAGAGCACACTTACTTCTATCATGGTATTCATAAGAAAAGATTTTGAATATATAGGAAAGAAGAGAAAAATCTACGAAACTAAAAGATTGAAATTTTCCAGGCTTTAAAGAAAAAACTTTATAATTTTTTCAAGAAAGGTCGTGGAGAGCTGCAAGTGGTCTCATTTTATAGCCCAGACTTTTCTCTACATCAAACTATGCTCAGCTCAAAAATGAAAATTTTTTTGCAAAAAAGAGGGGGGAGTACCCCCTTAAGTAACAAAAAATCTTTGTTTCATCGCATATGCAGACATCTGCATTTTAATCTGCACTAATAGGGTTGAAATTTTAAATTCTATTAAATTTTAGTTTTTGCTATAAGATATACATGTTAAGATATATTTGGGTGTGCACTTTTAATTTACTAATGTGAGTTGTTTCACAAAATTGTTCCTTGAAATTAGTCAACGTTTCAATTATTTCTAGTAACGATATACAAACATAATAACTATTTTCAAACTATGATGTCTAACTTATTCTATTCGTGATATGTAAGGCTTTCAATGTCGATAAATATAAAAATATTTTTCTCATGAAATCTTTTAAAAACAAAAAAAAATAAAAACATCGAATAAATAAATATATATCATTTTCGAATCATATGAGAACGTATTTAAATTTTTAGAATGCTAGTTTGTACAGCTGAAATAAATAAATGGAAATAATATAGGCATTTTGTACGGTAAATATTAAACTTTAATTAGAGTCAGATTTATCTCGACTTTAATAACGTGTGTATTCGCTATAGTAATGGAATAAAGAAACACTATCGCTATTCTCGATTTGCGTGCATTTTCTTCGTTGTTATTGTTTGTGACAAAAGATCTGATACTAGTAGATCGTCAACACTTTCTATTAATATCAGTGATTTACAACATGATAGTTTTCTAGTAGCCACAATGTTTTGCAGCTTCTCTTGACTTTTATCTCGTGTTGATTTTATCCATTATTTCTTATCTTTCGAGTACTTGTTTGTTGTAAAACTAGACAATGTTAGAAATTGCAAAAGATAGACGGTGTTCAAAAACATTACTACCTGATGGTGAATCAACAGGTAAGAAAATATGAGAATAATCAAAATTTTGTTTTTTTGAATACTAAGTTCTACTAGTTTAGATACGTATGAGAATATAAATCGAAAAAATGTATTTAAGTTAGGTGCAAGAGTGATTTCATCAACGGATTTATTTTGTCTAAATCATCAATTTGATTTCTCATATGTAATTGATAATTTCTTGTTGCTATTTGTATTTTTAATATTTCTGTCATTAATTTTGAAAATTTTTTCACGGCCACCATATCATCATACTGTTGTAACATATAACGCCATAATAAATCGACATATTTACATTGAGCCACGTATACTTGAGCAAAATTTGATAATGTTGGTTGATTATCACTTGCCGATATACCTTTTGAAAATATCGTAACGATAATAAGTAAATGTATAATACTTTGATTATTTTCTGTTATGTTGATTAGAGTAGATATTAGTTGTAAAAAAGTTTGACGAAGTTCTTCAAATTGACATAGAGTAGATAATACTTTACGTTGTTGAATACTTTCATTTGATGATTCTGACCGACATGTTCCATTAATATAATCAAAATCCAATGATTTTGCTAAAACAAATGCATAAAGCAAATTATATTTAACAAGTATAAAACGATCGTTATCATCTAATTGTTTAAATTCTGGTATTAATTTTAAATAATCAATAAGTTTTAAAGCTGTAAAATTTTGCATATCCATCATGTATGTTAACGCTTCCATTTTATCCTTAATTTGATATGGAATTAATGGTCGAACAGCTGATTGTTGACTAATCATAAATGATGTTTGAATACACTGAATTTGAAGATGATCTTCATTAGTAAATAATACTTTATCTATTACTGTTGTGATATCGGTAGAATTTTGGATAGTCTAGAATCAGATAGAACAGTATAGTATTGTTCTGGAGATAGTAAATAAAATATGTATTACTCACTGTAACATTATTGTTATCTTGTTGATAGTAATAATTCGTTTCATCTACTATAACCGCATCTGTATGACTTAACAATTGATTATTTTCTTCCAAACGTTTTTTTCGTCGTAATCTTTCTTCTGGCGATAGAATAAAATCTTTTCTCATACCTAAATAAAAGAAAAATTGAATATATCAATAAATAAGATATATTTATGAATCAATTACCCATAGAAAAACATCTTTTTAATCGACAACGTTTACATTGTTTTCTAGCATTTGTTATCTTACAATTTTCTGATCCCAAACATGCAAGTCTATCCTAAAAAATACGATAATGAATGAATGAATGAATGATTTGAATGAAAAAAAATCAATATTTACAATCGATTGTAATGCATTTCTGTTAAAAAATGATTTGCATGAACCACAAGTAATTGCATCATAATTGTATCCTAATGCTTTACCACCGCAGACAACACAAACAAAGTTTCCTTTTTTAGATTTTATTGTTGATGTAGTTGTTGTTCGATTTTGAACGTCTACTGTATAAGTTGTTGATGGTGAACGAAGCATATGCTGATAAATATGATCATCTGTTTCATTCTAGAAAAAAATAACATCAGAAAAATCATGAGATGTTTAATTATTTTCTATTCAATTCTCATTCATTTACATGATCGGTTAATTCAGATAAGAGTGCTAATTCTTGAACATTTCCATTAAAATTTGTATCAAGATTAAAAATTTGTGTTTGACTTCTATTTGTATTCTGTTTTTGTTGAAAACAATTGATTAATTGTTCATCACCAGTTATTATTATTATTTTTGTCTTTGGATTTTCGTTTCCATTGGCTACTACACTTCGTTTTCTAATATCCATGTTTATTATTAATTGAAAATGAATATTGAAAAAATTATTGACATTTACACGTATATAAAATATTTACCGATGACCATAAGGGTGTTGATGTAATGATGCTTTTCGTACGAGTTGCATCATATTTTTTCTTTCTATGAGTCATGTTGAATGTGTCACATAGGTAAAATATGCATCGCGTATAATAAATTTTACAAAGAAAAAGAAAGTATAAAATGATGAACAACAACAACTTTTTTCTGCTTTTTCTTTTTAGCACGAACGACAGAAGGCTTTTTTCATACAATATCTGAAAAATTAGCATGAATAAATTTTCTATTTTTTTGTTTTGCAAAGTAGTTAGAAAGAATAAGAGAAAAGAAATATGAAAAAAATTTTTCCATCTTATATTACAAATGTTAGAATAATATTTATAAGAAAAAATAAAACTTTCACTCAGTAGAATTATTTCACTTCTTCGGCATTAGGATTAATCAATTAAATCGTAAAAAGAATGAAAACAAAGGAATGAGATACACCGTTACACAAGATGCTCTAGAAACTTAATGAGGCATAACATTATAACGTCGCTCACGGATAGTGTAACATAAAATTTCACAGTCATTCAATATTGAAAAACCCTAAGCTTTCAGTCATTGGGTGGTACTCGTCTATAAATTTCTCATTTTTTCAGATTCACGGCTTGATTTTTCAGAAATCTGACTTGGATCTTTGATTCTAGATAGACATTGATAAACTACAAACCTAGAACTATGAAGTGAATACTTCTGATGCTCAATCTGAGGTCAAACGGATTTTAATTCCTCCAAGGAGATGCTGCCTGAATTTTTGCAAAATTATTCTGAGAAAATGTACTTAGTCGAACTTGAAAGATGACGACTTTTGCACAGAATGTCAAGTGGTGATCAAAATAAAAAAACTCTCAAAAATTTGCGAACAAAATTTTCAGCTGAACAACTTTCAAAGTTCAAAACGGAACTATAGCGTCACTGTAAGAAATCAAAACTAGGTGCACACTTAATTCTGTCTGATTCAAGTTAAGAGATTTTTTTGCAATTTGCTATAGCGTCACTGTAAGAAATCAAAACTAGGTGCACACTTAATTCTGTCTGATTCAAGTTAAGAGATTTTTTTGCAATTTGAAGCACTATTTATTAAACAATAAGAAATTCTCTACGTAATTAAAATTATTACGGATTGAATACCAAAAATAAAAAATAGAACAAAACAAGATAGTATTTTACATAACAAATATTTGTTTTCTTATCAAAATATTTCATGTAACTCTCCTATATTCGTATCTATTATAATGATCATTGATGTGCGTGTTTCTCGTTATTATATCACACTTCGTAAGTACGTCATGCATGTGTTGCTCCCTGTTTTTCTTTCGATTGTAATTCGTTGTATATGGTAGACGAATAGTTTTACTGATTCAACGGAAATGTGATTACCTTGAGTTGTCTATTATCGGTTAATCGAGAATGTAGTAAAACGTAGAAAATAGTGAGTAAACAGAAATTTATCTTGTAGTCACGCTGAAAGAAGCGATTACTATTTGAATATTTTCAATAATCTATCCGATTTGTTATCTTCAGCTACTGCTGAACTTTAGTTGTGTACGAAAAAACACGCATTCCCGTCACTAACAATTTTATGATGTCTTGTAACTTCTTCGTTTACCGTGCTGGTGGTTGCACTAGTATTGAAACTGTCCAAAAACATAAACTGACTAATTTTTATGGTAGCAGAGAAAAGATAAACGAAACTGACGTGTATACATTTGAATATTTAATCTTACTTTATGATCTGATATAAACTACAAAATTTAGTTTGTATAAACATCTCATGTTCATGAAATCAAGATATCGGCAGAAACGTCATAAATACATGGCCACTCAACGCAATTCTATTAATCATTTTCTCTTAGAAAATTGAATTTTTCTATTGACCAATATGTGTAAACATACGATTTTACAAATTTTTCCTAATACAATTATATATTACATGAAAATGACACAGAAAAATTGTATAAAACAAAACACTGCAACAATAACAAATGTTTATTTGTTCATTTTAATATTCAGCATCTAACTCTTATAACTTATTTTGCACCAGCAGCTTGTTTTCTTAATAACTGAAATATTTCTTGTTTAATCCATTCTTTATTGTGTGGTTTATATGTACCCGTTGGTTTTTGAAAACATAAACATGATAAATCGGATAATTGATCAATAAACTCAAATAATTCGGATATATCATAGGTTATTGATGGTGACATTGGGTTACGCTTTTTTAAATGTTCTTCAAATACTTTACATATACCTAAATAGCAAAAGAAAGATCTATTACGGGAAAGTAAGATGAAAATATATAACCTGAAAAGCACAAACTAGAATGGTTTAGTATCATTCTCATCTCGAAGTAAATCACTAAGAAATAACAAATGCGTCACTTACCATCTAAACACTCATCAACCGTTTCATAATCACTATATGTACGTGAATCTAATTTACTTGTCGATTGTAATAATAGGATTGTGTGCGTTTGAGACATTTTCTCTGAGAAGGTGAACAGTTAAAAAGTATTGAGTATCTATAAAACAAAACAAATATGAAAAGTTAAACTCGTAAGTAGTAATGATCTTACAATAAATATGAAGTAAACGCCAAATTAAGGCGTGAAACACGTATTTATAACATTTAAAGAAACTAACTGGTAGAAAAGAAAAAATCCGTTCCATAATCTTTCAAAGAAATCTACTAAAACTTAGTCTACATTCAATAACTTGATATTGCCTGAATTAGTTCAACTTTCAGAACTAAGATAAAGAGGCAATTATTTAGGATACAAAAAATAGGAATAAATAAAGCTTATTTTAAATGAAAAGAAACACCAAACAAAGACGTAGCATTTAATAAATCGAAAATAACAAATGAAAAAGGAAATATTCCTTGTTTACGTCACATATGAATGAGCCCTATTTATTTGAATGAAAGTGAGCAAAAATATCATAGCATTAAGCTAGTAAAAATAATGACTTGAGATATCAAGTATTACTGCTCTCGAATATAGAAAAACAAGATAAAAATATTTCATTTCTTATGAACCATCAGAATATATATGAACAAATTGGATAATACCAAGATCTTTTTCTAACCAACAGGTTTCAAATATTCTGTGTCTTTATGAATATTGAAATATTTGAGCGAACAACACAGTTGTCCGCATATTTTTGGAAAAGAAACCATAAATACTATTTACTAGCTGAATATTTCTCAGATTAAGGTGGAACGAAAAATCAGTTATTTTTGAACCGCTACTTTACAACTCTTGTTTGTTGTCTAAGTGTTAGTGAATTTTTATGAACCTCAATTACAATTTCTGACGTTTTTGTCCACATTGACTACTACTATCAGTTCAAAATATAGTGACCACAGTTGTTTTTTAAGTAACTTTTGAAAGAAATGAGCTATACACATGCGGTTTTCAGATTATGAAAGAGGACATCCAGCTACATAATTCCGTGTTAAAATGAGCCAGACCCAACAGGTCTACAATAGTTTGCTTTTTGCTTCGAAAGATACACCATTGTAGACCTGTTGGGTCTGACTCATTTTAACCCCTTGAATGCCGTTATTTTTCCCCTTCCGCGTCCAAAGGCATGCATATGTAAAAAAACGATTAAATATCTCTCTTTGCGTTCTGTTGTTTTCGTCACTTGTGTTCCTCTGGCACTTCTTTTTCGTTAAAACGATAGAACGAAAAAGCATATGCACATATAAAATTTCCTTCATGTCATCTATAGATGCCTTACGGCATTCAAGAGGTTAACACGAAATTATGTTCTCGGATGTCCTCTTTCATACACTGAAAACCGCACGTGTTTAGCCCATTCCTCTCAAACGTTACTTACAAAACAACTGTGGTTACTATTTTGAAACGGATAGTAGTAATTTAAAAAATTTAAAAGAAAAAGAAATATACAAATTTACATGCATTACATAAAAATGAACAAATTGCAGACAAGTGGCGATATTCAAGTAATTCTTGAAAACTACCTCTAATGAGCAACAAACTACTTTTTATCGGCTAATATGAGTCCACACAACAGACGAAATAATAGTTCTTGTAACCTTGGTGAATGTAGACGGTGCAAATAGAATTGAATTATAAAACTATCTTGAAAGTTATGCCTGACAGTTCTTGATCACGCTATAAACACTGTGAAATATCACATGTAAAATCATGTAAAATTTTTCCGAGTAATATGTTGATGGGAAGACGAAAGCAATTCAGACGCTTCAGCATATCCCAAAATATTAAATCCATTAGGTAACGAAAATTCCTGAAAAGAAACAACGAAAAAAAATTTGAATGATCCCTACATATATTTTTAATACTAATGTTAATGTTTACTAACATGTTTCCAGTAAAGAGAACTAAAAAGTAGTGAAAATGAAAAGGAATCGAAGATAATTCTTATCACATTTTCATTAACATAAACGGTCAGAGTTTTCGATAAGTCAGGACCAAGAATCCAAAATAAACACAAATGTTTTTATTAATTTTTTACGTCGATTATAAACATGAACAACTACCATCAGAGGGAGCGGAGCCATGAGAGCCTCAGGTTTATCAACATCTTTTTCTCTTGACTTTAGTCTAGGGTCTTACAAAATTCTTGTCTTGTCTGTCTGTGTGTGCAAAATACGAAAAAATCGCTGTCAGATATTCCGTCGATAAGCCAATCATAAGAGAGAAAAAGAAGTTTTTAACTATGAGAGAGAAAATATTCAAAAGAGACAATCTAAAATAACTACTGATGCAAAGAGAAAAAAAGCTAAGCAAACGTTTAATCCGGAGACAGATGTCACCAGCAGTTAGTCTAAATTTGATAAAACAAAAAGAGTTCTCTACCCAGATAATAAAAGTTATAGAATAAAGATGGTCTGTCATAGCGAATCGATCAGAAATACGTCCAGCGAATACGTCTTAGCGAACACCGGCCGAAGGAGGGTGTGGGTGTTGTCTTGGATTCAAAGTCATGGAAGGTCGTTCGAAGATATAAGTTCCTAATGTTAAGGAATCGAGCGACTGCAGACGAGCGTTATCATAATTATAACTTTAATTGAATTAAATAGAAAAAAGAAAGTGTTAAACACTGCAGAATATCTACCAATAGAAGTGTTAAGCAGCTATGCATTAACTTATATTTTTTTCTCCACTTTCTGTTATTCCATTAAACAAACGTTAAATTTTGTTTTCTAACAGTACTTCAGCTTTCATCGCTCTCGTATCTGTAGCTTAAATCTATAGAAATTAAAGAATGGCACACTATAGGGCGGATATATACATAGCTCGACAAAAATATGAAGAAAATTCACTTATTACATTAATATAAATAAGAAGTCATAAGTGGAAGAAAAGTAAACAAACGAAGAAATTTTGAAGACAACACTCAAAAAATGCTATAAATAATTATTCTATTTTCACCCTGGAGCTTTGCTCATGAAGAGCGTCTTCAATAAAAATAAAACAATTGATTCTTGATTTTCTTGAAAAATGTACTTTATCTTCCACACTTAATCTTTTATTACTTTCGTTGTGCTTCATATGCGTCTTTTCCTCTATACTTTTTCTTCTTGACCGTTCACGTTCTTACTAAATATGTCATAAATACTGATTTTTGTTGAACAGATTTCGTTAGTTTGTACCTTTTCACTGATTCTTCGAGAGGAGTCATCTTAAATTTCGACAAAAAAAATAATACCAGTTGATGAGTGTTAGAAAGAATGTGCTTGAAAAATCTCTTAGAGTTTAAAATTGCGATGATATATAAATAGTTTTAAACAAGTTTTATGTTTGAACATAAGACAATGGGAAAACAGTTTATAAATGCATTAATCTTCACATACTGACAGTGATTGTATGCTTCTACTAACATCGAAGTCGTTATCGACAAATCTATGTATCACTAGATAAAGTAATTGAATTTAGATTACAATAGATAATGACAGAAACAAAATCAAATACTTAATGGGAGAGACAGGTACTGCAACCGATATTTTCTACCTGACAAATTCGGAAATCAAAAAATGATCTCTATTTATGGTTCAAATATCAAATTTTAGTAAAAAATTTTAAATTGAATAGAATACCGATGACGTCTCGATTTACTCTATAGTGGTTTACTTTCTGTCACGGATAGTCAGGAACAAATGACTGCAAGTAACGTCAACTATTTCTACCATTCAACGTAAACGAATGAAAATTGTTTCAAAACGTTAAAAAGTCAAATGCCATCTCAAGTCATAATTGATGCACTACAATGAAGATATTCATTTGATGATTTACCGTTAAAGATAACTAAACTTATCGAGAAATGGCACAAAAAAAAATGAATTAAAGCATTAGAAATATCGATCACAAATGGATAACACTGAGAGTATGAAGATGGAGCTCGTGAAAGGAATTAACGATTACAAGATGAAAAATATCGCACACGTTCTTTTATTTCTTATTTGAAAACTTTTTCTTATCTTTCTAGTTATTTATGGCCAAACTAAGTTGAATTGTCAATAATTATCGAATTTGTACACATGGAAACCGTTGGTAGTAAATCCATTATTTATCAAACTATATTATGATGACTTATCAAAAAAGTTAACAATCACTTAACTATGTATTACACAAATCTGTTAATATTATCTTAAACAAAAATGATTCGATTAAAACTAATTGAAAGAGGTGTACCGAGTAAATAAACTTTTTGTCAACTATTTTGACAAATTTTGTTATATTGATGAAGAACAACACCGAAATGGAATAATTATGTACAACATCAGTCACTCTCATTTATTTAAAAAAGACAGATTTTTGTGGCAGTCTTTTTGTTACCATGATGGATGAGCGTCGCGCATCCATTTCTGGAAGAACGGATGATGATGATGAAATGCAATTTTTTTCATCACTTTACTGTATGATCTAGTCGTGGTTTCGATCACTCTAGATATGTAAAATATTCATCATGCTTATTTTGTCGTCAGCTGTTTCTTCTGTATAGTTCTGTTTATCTAAAGTATCTGACTTGTTTCGTTTGTAATCTATTTATACATACGATACCGAAAAATGCATCCGTTTTTATTTTAGATTTTTGTTTATCTCTTTTCTCATTCAAGAACATTTAAATATGATAAATAAAACAAAAATTTTCAAGTTTTCAAGGAGATGGTATTTCTAAAAAATATTATTCACATTATCATCAATATCGCACACAACGACACCATTCTGTAACGTCATTGTCATCACCATCTTATCACTCGAAATCTTTTCATTGTCTACGGTATTATTCGTTGTAGCATTCATCTCATTATTCATCGCCACTATATTCAATTCAAGATCATTTTAAATCACCATTACCCACGTATGTCTTCATTAACAGTTGAATTATGTACTATTGAATGTGCTGAACAACAGCAATTCAAAAATTAGATGCAGTATGAATATAAAAGACAAAATGTATCGGTTTAAATAGATATTGATAGTTTTTATTACTCGTCATGCGAAATATCATGGTATAAAATACCATTTAAGATTACAGTTTAAACACAAAAAATGAAAGTTCACAACTATGTTGATAGTGTACGAACTGAATAACTACATTGTTGCAATGCGTACAAAGAATAACAAACATCAAAAGAAAGTTGTGTATGAGAAGAAAACTAGAAAAAATGAAAAAGAACCAAAACAACAACAATTACATTATAGAAAAAATGCTGTATTATTCATTAATGAACATATTCATAAACATGAAAGATCTATTTTTGGTAAGTTTCCTTTATGATTATTTTTAAAATAATGCAGAAATAGGTGGATACATCTTATCAAATCAAATTATTGCGATTATCGAATAATATGGTCCAGTATTGTCACTAATAAAAACATAGCATTCTGATTTATTTATCAGCTATGTCTATTATAATTTATTCAGATCGATATATACATCATTACTGCATCCTATTTATAGAAATGGACATCATTATTGACAGCAATCATCAAAAAAAAATACTAGAAAAATATTTATTAAGAATGTATGCTACTGGATAAGGCAAATTATAAAAGAAATACAATATAATAGTTTCGCGTCTCAAAACTCTCTAGTCAGCCTTCTTCTAGTTTAGTTAATAGTTTTGTTTGCTTGTGATTTTGATATGCTACTTTTAGATTTGTGTTCTACATTCTTCATCTCGTTTTAGCTTGGCTCTCATCGTTCGAAGAAAAAATTACATGACATGTATTCTTGGACTGGTCGTATTCAAATGTTTAGTGGAGAGTTTTGTGGTCGACTCACGGTTTCATTTTATAAACAGTATTAAGCTGAGAAAGTTGTTAAAATATTTAACGGTCAAATGTTGTTTGGACCAGTTATGAGAATTCACTTTGATTGGAATTCCCTGCCAGAGCATTATGAAACGCAAGAAAAGAAAAAGATCAGACACAAAACTAATCTATAATTATAATTTTTAAGAAATCAAACTTTACAAGGTTTTGTTTTTTAAATCAGCTAGTCACGCTGTGTAGTTCAACGTTCTTCTTTTTTTACCCTAGATATACCATTGTCATTATTAAATAGTGAAAATTATAGTGATTTACTTGTTTTACTCACTCTATTTCAGTTACCTCCCGATATTCTTAAAGATTTGACAGAATCACTACTTCGTCATATTGAACAAAAAGATGAATGATTTGAACAAGACCGAATTATTGAACTATCTGTTGCTAATGAGTCAGATCAGATATCTGTCGAACTGCAATAATTCCCCATCTTAGCAAGGGAATGAGCCTCATCCTAAAAAAATATTTGTTGTTTAATCAATTACTATGATACTAGTTGATGGCGAAGAACAACTAAGATAGAACTGTAAATTTCATTTTTTAACCTCGTATAAAATACACTGATAATAAAACTGATACAGAAACTTGATGATATTGTTGAACTTCTTATCATTCTGAACATTATGGATTGAAACGTTAGTATTTAATAAAAAAAAACAATACTTTTTTTATATTGTTAACAAAAAATGCTTCAAAAAAACATTTGTTATATTATTTTATTCTTTACTTTAAACTTTATTTTAATATCCATCACATATTTTTACTCTATTTTTTTGCTTCTCTCATTAGAAAATTAAATAAAATATCCAAATTATATTTTCATTTTCTATTCATTTTTTCAAATCTTAAAATAAAGTATAAAAGAAACTGTTAACGTGTAATTTTATCTCCATTCTACTATTGTCAATATTGTCGATTTAGCAAAAACAGCTAAGCTTTCAATAGTATAGAAGATTATTAATCGTCTTATAATATCTGTATAACATGACATAATCTTTTTTAATTCTTAAGTATTTTTTTAATGTTGAAAGTATTCAAAAGTTTATTTAAACGAGAATAAGATGTCTCTTCTACTTTAACGTTTTCTACTATTTATTTCTATAAATTTTTTTACAAGAGAAAAAAAGAATTTTGATCATAAAATAAAAATATTTTATTTTTATTAATTATATATTTTTTTTTCTTATTATTGTACGTTATATGGTATAGTGTACGCCCAATATGACATTAGTTTGAGAACAACATGATAAACATTCTCTATTCAATTTGATTATATTTTTTTTATGTAAGCTTTAATTATAACAATCATAATACTTGTGAAGATTTTTTTTTTTTACTTGACATTTGTCGAGATTCACTGTGAACTATCTGTTTTCATTAAAATATTTCCTTAAAGAAAGAGAGGAAAAAAAAAAGGATGTACAGAATAAAGAACAACAATCAATAGATCAATTATTCATCATTCTAGTGTAGAATAGCGAATGCTTTCATTTTTTTTTCTTATTTTTAATAATGTCAAATATTTATTTCTCCTGTCATTTTCCAAAAATCTCGTGAACGTAATTATGTGAGTAGATTATTTTTGTTTTCAAATAAGAAAAAGTCTATTCTTGTTTTTTACTTATTTATTCTTATTCTATCAAAATCTCTGATTTTGAAAATCTTTGATAAATCGATTAAATGATAGAGAAAGAAATATAATAACTATCTAGCATTAACGTAAATCACTAAAAAGATAATGGTTCACTATTATTAAACTTCTGTTTTATCTTTTCTCTTAGGACATGTGGTAAACATCTATACACATGTTACTTATGTCAATAATGTGTATTTTTTTCTTTTTTCTTTTTTTTCTATCTCTTTTTTCTCTCTTTTTCTAAGCATGTAGTCTATAGATCTCCTGATGGTAACCATTTATTCTCTTTTACACAAGTTAATTTTATTCATTATTTATTAAAATGGGTTCCCGTTATTTCCACACAAATAAAATGAACTAGATTTGGATTGAGTTCGTTTCTCTTTCTCTGTTTTTCTGTCTATTTGTTCGTTCTTTTCTTTTCTTTTCAATTATATATGCGAACTGTTGAGAAAATGGAAAAAACAATTTCTTTTTATAGAATATGTTGGTGTATCTATTCTGTATATATATTTCGACCTATATATAGTAGAAACATTATATACACTTCTATTAATAAAAGAAAAAAAAAAAAAAGATAGAACGTGAAAAAACTAAAGATGAACATTTGTTATGTTCATGTTTGTGTTTCATTTAGTATTGTGAAATAAAAAAAAGAAAAGAAAAGCAGCATTTTAAATGCATATTATTTCTTTTTTTCTTCTTTCTCTCTCTCTCTCTCTCTTCTTTGGTTTCGTGTTGTTAGTACTAAAAATAAAATAAAAAAAAAAACTACGAGCCAAACAAGAATGACGCATCTCTTCTATTATAAGCAAACAAGAATATTTATTCATATTTTTGACTAAGACGAAAAAATTCCGGAAGGAAATTTAGAGATTATCTTCTGACTATATATCGATTTCTTATGTATTATATTTTTTAGATAATATTTTTTAGTCTTACTGTGTGTATAAATATTTTAGTAAAATTGTATATAAATGAATTGAGAACAGTATTTAGAAAAACATTATAATAATGACGTCGGTGAAGGTAGCTGTACGTGTGCGACCATTTAATGGACGCGAAATTCAAAAGGGTGCACAACAAATTATCAAAATGGAACAAGAAACAACACGTATGTATCTATTTACATGAAAAAATATAATCAAATTAATATTTTTTAATATTTATTTTATTCAGGTATTCGAAATCCTCGTGATGTAAACGATGTTAAAAGTTTTAAATATGATTATTCATATTGGTCAACAAATGAGACCGATGGAGAATTTGCATCACAATTACAAGTTTATCAAGATTTAGGAATTGAAATGTTAGAACATGCATTTGAAGGTTATAATATATGTATATTTGCGTATGGTCAAACAGGTAAACTAATAAATGATAAAATATTTTTATTTTGAATAATTCAATTATAATCATTGTTTTCTAGGTGCTGGTAAATCTTATACGATGATGGGTAAAATGGAAGATGGTCAAAAAGGCATTATACCTCAACTATGTGAAGAATTATTTAATCGTATAACACGTTTAGCTACACCTACTTCACTTACACCGATGCTATCAGAACCACATAATCGTCGATTTTCTGTTGAAGTATCGTATATGGAAATTTATTGTGAACGTGTTCGAGATTTACTCAATCCAAAGACTAAGCAAAATTTACGTGTAAGAGAACATCCAATTATGGGACCCTATGTTGAAGATCTATCAAAATTACTTGTGACTTCTTATGATGATATATCGAGATTAATTGATGAAGGAAATAAAGCAAGAACAGTAGCAGCTACAAATATGAATGAAACATCGTCAAGATCCCATGCCGTATTTACAATTGTATTTTCACAGCGATGTTTTGATGATTTAACGGGTTTAACAACTGAAAAACAGTCGAAAATATCTTTAGTAGATTTAGCTGGAAGTGAACGAGCCGATTCAACGGGAGCAACGGGTGATAGATTGAAAGAAGGAGCAAATATAAATAAATCATTGACAACATTAGGAAAAGTGATTGCAGCACTCGCAGAAATGGTAAGTGATAAACAAATAGAGTACTTTACTTTTTCGTATCGATTCATCTTCATTCTATAAATTATTTAAGAGTTCAAAACGAAAAAGTAAATTGGATAAAAAGGCCGATTTTATACCATATAGAGATTCAGTATTAACATGGTTATTGAAAGAAAATCTTGGTAAGTAGGATGGTAGCTAAGGAAAATGTATACAATAAATCATATTTTTAATGATATTTCAGGTGGAAACAGTAAAACAGCTATGATCGCCGCTATCTCTCCGGCTGATATTAATTATGAGGAAACGTTGTCAACTTTACGTTATGCCGATCGAGCGAAACAAATTTTATGCAAAGCGATTATTAATGAAGATGCCAATGCTAAACTAATTCGTGATCTAAAAGAAGAAATATTAAAGTTACGAGAATTATTACGTTGTGAAGCTGGTATCGATCTGTCGGATGGTGGTGGCGTAGATGTAACACAAATACAACAACAAAAGGCAAGAAGTTCAAGATTAAAATCTGTCAACGGTTCGGGTGAAGATGCTTTAGAAAGATTGAAAGAAAATCAAAAGTTAATGGATTCGCTATGTATGTCATATGAAGAAAAATTAAAAAAAACAGAAACAATTATGCAAGAAAGGTATAAAAAAATTAAAATTCAACTATTTTATATATATGATTAGTAACATATTTTATTAAAATCTATAGAAGTTTTGATTGTTGTTATTTCATCTCTTTTTAGAGAAGCTGCATTTCATCAACTTGGATTATACGCTAAAACCGATGGTTATGCTGTTGGAATATTTTCACCTAAAAATGTGTGTTTTACTTACTACTTATTAGAAGAGATAGTTGTAAAAATCTTTTATAATTTTAGACACCTCATCTCGTTAATTTAAATGAAGATCCACTTATGTCAGAATGTTTAATGTATTTTATCAAAGATGGAATTACTCGGTAAGAAAAGTTTCATCTCTATTTTATAATATTTACTATAATATTACACTTCATTGTATACTCTTTTTTTTACAGTATTGGTCGTGATGATGCCACTCAGCATCAAGATATAATGTTAAGTGGTTCACACATACAATCGGACCATTGTACATTACAAAATAAACAAAATATTGTCACATTATCACCGTGTCCAAATGCAATGTGTTATGTAAATGGAAAACAAGTGGATTCGACAATTGAATTGAAAAGTGGTTCACGAGTAATATTTGGTAAATCACATGTCTTTCGATTTTTAAATCCAGAACAAGCACGAAAAGAAGTAAAAAAACAAGATACACCATCAACAACTGGTATGCCTTATAAATACTCTGATAGATCTATAAAACTGTTATCATTTTTTTCTTCAGAGCCGACTGATTGGAATAGTGCCATACAAGAATTGTTAGAAAAACAAGGTGTCGATATTAAACATGAAATGGAAAGAAAGTACGTTGAATACATAATAAGAAAACTATCATAATTGAATATTGTTTTTCCATTTATGAAAATTTAAATTTGATTATTTCTAGATTGATTACAATGGAGGAATTGTACAAACGTGAAAAAGAAGAATCTGATCGCTTATTAGCACAACAGAAATTGGAATATGAATCAAAAATAACCGAATTACAGAAACAAATGGAAACATCCATGTCCCAGTCAATGTTATCGTCAATACTCTCAAGTGGAATTGGAGGAAGTCAATTTAATGATGGAAAAGAGATTATACAACAACAAGATTCATTTATTGATACTGACAATGATACACTTAGTTGTACGTTTAGTAGTGTGTCTCTTTCCTATGAATTGAATCCACAAAATGTTTAAAATATCCTTTGAAAATCAAATATAATGCCAGTTTTCTTAGGTTGTTCATGGTCTGAAACTGACTATCAACTCGCTTGGTGGGCATGGCGAAAATGGCGTTATCATCAAATGACATCGTTAAGAGTAAGTGAAAAATTGGCTTGTAGCGTAGAATAATTAGTTGTGCAATGTGAGACAACGGTTTCACTCTAGGATTATTCCAATAGAATTCAGCCTATATGGGTTATTAAGGTAGTATGTCGTTGTTTTGCGCAATATAGAAGAAAGGGTGCAAATATATATAAATGTTGTAACTATTATCCACACCACGCATGTCTGCTTCATCAAGAGTAAAATCGTTGTCAATTAGATATGTAGCAAAGTATTTACGTTTGTAAAACATTTTTTGTAATTAGAATAAGTATTATGTTTTTCCATCAAGCAAATGAATAACTCGTTTAGTTAGACTAAGTCATTTATCGTAATATTGGTAGTATTAAGATTATTATTAAACTGATATTTTTTGCTTATTTGATGTATATCATGTGTCTATAGTTTAAACATGAAAATGTTTGCATGTTAAAATTTTGATCCTTTAATTCTTTTCGTAGGATGTTTTGTGGGGTAATGGTGTTTATTTGAAAGAAGCAAATGCAATTAGTGTTGAATTACATAAACGTGTACAATTTCAATTTATTTTATTGACTGATACACTTTACTCACCATTACCGCCAGAATTATCCACACAATTTCATGAAAAACCTCAACGAACAATTGTAGCCGTTGAAGTACAAGATTTAAAAAATGGTGCACAACATTATTGGTCAATAGAAAAATTTAGGTAAGAAATACTTTAATTAAATGATAATGATCGCATATAGCGTTCGAGAAAATATTGACAAGAGATTATTTGCATTTATAAACTTGACTTGAGATATCCAAGGTCATATCAAGAACTTTGGGATAAATCAAAAAAAAGAGTCATAGAAATTGAAAAGAATCATTGCCATCTACAATGTAATTTCTTTTATACAGTTGAATCACTAGCATTTATAGTTCAGTTAGGCTTTGAGATACAGTTGTACTATGATACATTGAACAGTTATTGATGAATATTCTTATAATCAGAAGCAAAATGCGTATTTCCCTATCCTATTATTGCAGATCACGTCTTGAAATAATGCGTCATATTTATAATTGTGAGCAAATAACAATTCCATGTGGTATTAACGTCGGTTCTTCCAATTTTACTGAACCTGGCTCTCATATAGTAGTACAAACACAAGGAGGTACAGATACGCAAAATTCGAGCTTTGATTCAATAACAACACCAACTGCGAAAGGGCAATTTGATTTTACTAATAATGCAAGGTTGTTACATTTGACTGTTGTTGTGCTTAGTTGTCGTGTCATTCACTATCGTTGAGTTTTATGCATATAATATTATACTCCACGTTTCTAAACAGCATTCACCTACGCTTCATCGTTAATATTATACATTTGTGATAGTAAAAAGCATGTTCTAAAACAAATGTCATAATCAAGTGTTCTCATGTCTGTATTTACTTACTGTTGAACATCCCATAGACACTATAGTATATTTGTTTCATTTATGAATTCAGTTTTAACAATACCTAGGTAAATATTAGTGTCCTATCAATTTTGGTTTGTTGGTGGTTCTTATACCTTGTGATTTAGAATTTCTGAGGTTTTTTTCTTTACAGTATTCACTTGCTTACTTTTTGCTTGGTGTTTTATATTTATATATTGGATGCTGTATATTATTATTAACATCGTTATTTAATCCATTAATTATTTTCTCGTTTTAGGCAACGTTTGGAACTAATGCGTGAAATGTATCGAAATTCTGCTGATATTTCGCCAACGTCTCCGGATACAAATATTGAACATATGTTAACTGACATAAGTGGCGGACAAGATCCATTTTATGATCGATTTCCATGGTTTAGACCTATTGGAAGGTAGATATTTTAGACAGTTGTGCGAATTATAATTCTATCTTATATTTTTATATTTTAGAACATACGTATATTTATCAAATTTGTTTCATTTAATACCTCTTATTCATAAAGTAGCCATTGTTAGTGAAAAAGGTGAAATTAAAGGTTATCTAACAGTTGCCGTACAACAACTACAACAAGTAGATGGACATGATTTAGCGTCTATTGGAATGTCAACATCGCATACGATGAAAAATTTTAGAAATGCAGGGATGGTCAAACTTACTTTTGACGATGATGCATATTTTCAAGTAAGATAGATGAGTCTATGAGAATTTGCTAATATTTGTGAATAATTCATCGATAAGATTATAACGTTACAATACGAGTTAAAATCTGTCTTTAGTTACAAAATGAACTTTTTAAGTTGTTTGTCATTAATTTAATTTATATTCTTTTTTAGCATATGATTCAGCCATCATCACCCATCACATCTGAATCATGTATTCGTTCTGATTCAATCGATAATATTCGCTATGTTGAAGGTCAGACAACATCTCAAATTGATTTCTTATCAGAAACCAAAGAACTTGAATCACCTGTCCATATTCCATGTAAGTTTATTACTAGACATACATAAATAAACATATTTTATTTTCATTTTTTTATTTTATTTTTAGCTAATCAACCAAGAATATCATCGACTCCATCTTCTATTTCTCGTAAAACAAGTGAAATTCAACGACGTTTAATGCAAATCAATGATGACAATTTACCATCCGAATTAAAATTAAATAAAGAATATCGTTTTCGTATAACAGTTTTAGAAGCATCACAAATTCCAATAGAATATGCTGATATATTTTGTCAATTTAATTTTTTACATCAACATTCTGAAGCCTATTCAACTGAACCATTGAAAAATCATGGACAACCGGGACCACCATTGGGATTTTTTCATGTACAAAATGTATGTCATTGTATAAAAGATGAAAATATTATAAAATTTTTGTGTGGTTATTATTTTAGTTTAGTGTTATTGTCACTCGTTCATTTATCGATTATATTCAAACTCAACCACTTGTATTTGAAATAATGGGACATTATCAAGAACATTTACCGCCACAAATAGTTAATACAACTCAGCAAGAAAGGTAAAAGAATAGTTTGTTGTTGATCTTCTTATGATTTATTGAAAAAGTACATAGTTTGATTTTTTTTGTTCTTAGTCCATTATCTCGAAATTATAAACCAATTAAATCATTAACATCTTCGACAATGCCATTTTCAAGACCAATACCAGCTCAAACACTAAATCCAATATCAGCTGTCAGGTAATTAAATTTTGTTGATAAAAAAAACTATGTTATAAACTCATAATAATTTTATTTCGTGTATTATTTTTTAGTGCTACTCATGTTCATGCTATTCATGATTTATTAGTTTGGTATGAAATATTTGAATTAGCACCAAATGGAGAGTATGTGTATAGAGTCATGTTAATTTTCTTACATATAATATTCTTACATGAAATCATGTTAAATTAGATATGCAGCTGCTAGTGTTGATCATTCCGATGATGTTCCATGCTCTGGTCGATTTTTATTACATCAAGGAATTCAACGAAGAATCGGTATTACATTATGTCATGAATCCGGATCAGAATTGATATGGAAAGATGTGAGAGAAGTTGTTGTGGGTAAGAAAAAAAAACATATATAAAAATTGTTTATATCGAACTATGATATCTGCATAGATCTAGATTATAATGTGTTGTTATTTATGTTTTGTATTTTATATCTAGGTCGAATTCGTGGTCAACGTGATTCAGTATTTGATGAATCTGATGGTCATGTATTATCTTTAAATGTTATTCTTGCTCATTATTTACAAAAACAACATGATGAAAGGTGCATTAAATGATTTTCCTTTTTATATTCAATGTAGTATGATATTTTTTTTATTTTCATTTATAGAACATTCTATCGTTTTGAAGTTGCATGGGATTCATCATTACATAATTCTTTACTTTTAAATCGTTGTACATCATCCGGAGATTTTGTATATATCACAATATCCGCCTATTTAGAAGTGGAAAATTGTATACAACCAGCAGTTATTACCAAAGATTTATGTCTTATATTTTATCCAAGAGATTCGAGAATAACATCACCTGTCAGGTACACAAGTGTTATTCTCTGTTTAGAATTCCACTATATCTTAATATAAATTTCTTTTATGTTTAGATCACTACGTAATTTGTTTTCATCTGTTGCATACAAAAATTTAGATGCTAATCGTGTGGCAGCTGTCTACGAATTAAAATTAAAAAGAGCTGTTGATTCAATTAGTCCAGGTAAGAAAATTTGTTTTTCAACACTTTTAGATACTCTATATTTTTAACTTCTATTAGCAGCATGTAAAATAGAGAATTTTTTTGTGTTTTAAAGGTTTACAACGTCGTCAACGTAAAGTGATTGATACAAGTCGAATATATGTTCGTGGTGAAGAAATGTTAAAAGGTTGGTTACCGAGAAGTGATTCATTAATTATTGAACATCAACAAGATTTAGAAAAATTGTTTCGAGTTGAAAGCGTATGTAATACGGATTTTCTTTGTACTTTTCTATTATCATTTTTTTCTTATGCTCTTTTGTATAGGTTGAACGTACAAAACATTTTCTTCAAGTAAGAAATCGTTTAAAGAATCCATTGCCACAAACAGCAGTTCACGATTTAGTGCCAACTTCACCATCGTCAACAAAATCAACTCCATCTTATGTAATAGAAAATATTATTGTATCTCTCTTCTAGCTTATTTTTTAAAATTATTTCTTTTTTTAGACAGCACCATTTGATGATTTAACGAAATACGATGAACATCAACAAGATTTATTAAAACGTTGTTTATCAATGATGAAACCTTATACATTCAATAAAATACATGAAGAATCTAAAATAAATGTTCCAGAAATTGAGGTAAGATTTAAAATTTCATTTTTTTTTTATACAATTGTTCTTTTCTTTGTAGGTATCAACGTTGACTAACGATCGTCTTCTATCAACTGAAGATATTCACGCATTTAATTCTTTATTATCCACTGTTAAATCGTCAAATGAACCATTTACATTATCAACATTTTTAAAAGCATCATCAAGTAGCTCAGATTTATCTCGGTTAGTTTTCTTGTGCTATTCTTAATAATAGAATAAATTTTTTTTTATTACTTTTTTCATATTTTAGATTTGCTTTACTTGAACCGTCCGCATCTTCACCATTAAATTCATCATCATCATCTATTATGATCAAATCACGTTCAATGGAAAGTTTATTGAGTACAAATGCTGGTGGTGGTGAATTTTTGCGAACATCTCGTTTACAACCAAAATATATTCCTATTCTAGAAGAAGTTCGAATAAGTCCAGTTGTATCAAGGAGAGGATATTTAAATTTCTTGGAGGAAAAAGCAACGGGTTGGGTGAAAAAATTTGTAACTGTTCGTCGACCATTTGCATTTATTTATAATCATGAAAAAGATCCTGTTGAACGATCATTAATTAATTTAGCTACAGCAAAAATTGAATATAACGATGAAGAATCTATTAGTGGAACAAGGGTAAGTATAAAAGTTAATAATTAAGAAGTAAAAAAAATCTCTCAGTTTTCCATAGATCTTAACTATTACAGAGTAACTGAACATAACACACAAAACATGACATCGACGTTAAATGTGAATATATGAGGTTGTACCGTACATTTTTGCAAGCCAATCTAGAGTATGAAAGAGTGGTTAAAACAATTTACCTCTATTGTTAAGAATAGAACAAGAAAACTAAACTTTACTAAGCCATATTTTTGACAAATCTATTTATTTATTTAGAGTACTCGAAATACATTTTCTGTTGTGTCAAAATATCGTGGTTTCTTATTACAACCATTATCTGAGAAAGATGTACACGATTGGTTGTATGCATTTAATCCACTATTAGCCGGACAGATAAGGCAAGTATTAATCTTAACTATTTTATATACGATTAATAGAATTTTTTATTAATTGTTCATTTAGATCTCGTTTGTCTAATCGTGGTATGTTATCAACAACAATAACTTAAAAATATGTTAAAAAGTGCAGCTTTTTTTTGTTTTTGTTTTTTTTATTCTCCCTTAAAATATTTTTCTCTCTTTGTCAGATGTTTTAATTTAATTTACTCATAAAACAGAATACTTGTCAATAGAAGTGTGTGAGCTTCCAAGCTTGTTTTTGTTTTTCTTTATCTATATCTATGATATAAACTATTTTTTCTAGTCGACAACTATCAATAATAATGTTTATCAAAACATTTTTCAAATATTTTTATTTCTTGTGTCTTTCATATGGCTTGAATTGAACATATGTCTTTGTGTGTATGTGTTATTAAATATTTTTGTTTTTTCAGTGTCATTTGTATATAAAAAATAATGAGCCTATTTTTATCATGATGATATTCATGAAAAACAGTGCATATATTTATTAATTATATTATTAGTAATAAATAATATAAAGTCAACAAACATTCGATTTGGACATAATTTAAATAAACAAGCATTTATGACTAAATAAATTTTTTTTTTATAAAAAAACAGTATAGGTAAAAAATGCAGAAAATGTAGAAAATGTAGAAAATGTGTAATATGTTGGATAAAGAAATCTGTCAAACCAAATAGATGTTATTGCCTAGTTCGATAATACGGTGATCCAGGCTATAATAACTAATAACTATTACTCAGTTAAAATATTATTCATAATAGTCATGAAAGAAGTTAACCATATTAGTAATGAATGAAGGTACGATATGGATGAAAAATTCAAGTCATCCACCTTTTTATTTTGTAGTGAGGCATTTACGTAATAACAAATCATTGATGTGAATTTGTGATACGGTAAATTTATGATTCTTAGTGCAACTCGCCATTTCTAATTGAAATTTATTAGACACTCTAATTCAGAGTATAGCCCAGTCAAGTTTCTTGAATCATTTCTGCATGATTGCTATTCTCGTAGAGACTATTTATGAATTCTGTGATTCTTAGCAGAGCCAGTTTCCGCTAAAATTTAAGTAAACAACGGTATAGTAACGGTATATTATAACGACAAGACTCTATTAGATACAATCGTGCAATAAACTAACAATTCTGAGAATCGAGACGTGACTATAACGAATGAATATGAATAATGATGGAAAATAGAATTCACAACCCACGTATAATCGGTCTGAAGAGACATCAAACTTATTACAATTGCGACATGACATTCACAAGCAACGTTCGAACGTTCCAAGACCGAGAGAACTATAATATTAGGTTGAGGAAAAAGTTCGTGCGCCGTGTTAAAATAATGATTTTTTATATATTTTTTTTTGTGTTTTTGATCTGGTTTTGTGGCTATTATGAAAATTTATTGATTTTTGAAACGCTTGAACCA